TTTTTTTCTGCTTAACACGGTTCATTCAGATAAAGAATTATATTAGATCTTTGAAATAATTTTCAATGATGAGGGATCTAGTCCACACACTCCTAAAAAAACCGAAGAAAGAGTCGTTGGGTGGAATTCGGCAGTCATTTGGGGGATTACTCTAAATTCTAAATTTTAACTGTTAATCTTGTTCTATTTAATTAAATTTTTATATAAATTTAATATAACTTCTAACTTCAGTGTTTGAAACTCACAGGCGCCAACGCGCCAAATGCGCTTAGAAATCGGTCATGGTACCTAAAAAATGAAGGCTCTGTGCCAACGTGACCCCTAAAAATTGCCCTTCCCCCCAAAAAAAAAAGAAAATCCTGATTTTTCTATTCGGTAACTTTTGGAGTTCTTCTCTTCCCCAAGTTACAGCTACTAATTCTGTAGCCAGAACATCTTGCGTCTAACTTTTCACTGAATGCGCCGCGGCATTTAGGCGAAAAGTCAATCTGACCCCCGAAAAATCTTCAGAGGCCCCAAAAAATCGAGCTTGATCGAAAAAAAAAATCGATCACTGACTACCATAATATAAACCATATAAGAGTGTACGAAGATTCCTTCTCCCCGTGTGGATTATCCTTTGTATCGCTGTTTCTCAAGTTTCAGAAATTGCAATTCCACAACAACGCCAACATATTCGCCTACGAACGAGACCTCTCCGACTCGCAACAATCTGAATTTCTCCGACTACTGCGAACATCAAAAAGTCGTTATACGCCGCAGAATAGGTATTAGCCCAATTTGATTTTGCATCGTGATAAAAGTACGCGAGGCTCCCCAATCGAAAACCAATGCCTGTCGACGACTGCCGGCGGAGGTCGGGGGTTNGGCGGGGGGGGGGGGGGGTTCCTGTTTTCCACGAAACGAGAGAGAAAACTGAAGCGGATCGGAAATTGACACCGGAGTTGCGGTTGCGATTCCGAGAGACAGTGGAAGATGAAACTCGCGAAGCGTATACGAATTACTTTGCCCCGTCGATAACCGATACTGTCTTATCCGGGATCCGGGAGTTACCGCCCCTAATTTAAAGAACTTTCTGTGAAGTTGGTGCGAACGAATTGAAACATAATTGAATCAAATGGAGCCGAGGTTCAGCGAGAGGGCAAGGCGGCGCGGCGTGGGGTGGATCGGCGTTCGGGGTGGGGTGCTTTGGGGTGGGTCACATTGTGCGTCGCGCCGACGGGATAGGGATGGGGGCGAGGTAACGTTTCCTTATGAGGGACGACGCATCGGTCTACTGACTTTACCGGATACAAAAAGTGACTCTACATTAGGCCTTGTCTCCACGGGACGTTTTCATGGGATTTGTCCCAAGTTCGAATCGCAGGAATGAAACTTCTGGGATTTTTCCCAGTTACCGTCTCCACGGGACGGGGCTCATACAGTCCTGCGACTAGTTTTCGCGGGAAGATAAATTGGTTAAAGTCGAGTGTTTAACCGGGATTAAAATAATAATTGCACTCAATTNGGGTGAGGTAACGTTTCCTTATGAGGGACGACGCATCGGTCTACTGACTTTACCGGATACAAAAAGTGACTCTACATTACTCTGCCGTCTTAAGGAAGAACGTCTTATGAACCCTCAGGCGTTGCCAAATTTCCTTTGATAAAACACGAATTTCCTGGTAAACTTGTGAATATTTTTCTTCCAATTTTTCAGGTAATTTTTCTCGCAATTCCGCTGTAAAGTCCTGAAAATTTTAAGGGAGAATATTTATACCTTTCCTAATAAATGAACTTTTTATCGAAGGAAATTTGGACCGCGTTCAGCAGAAAGGACCCAAGTCACATCAGATATTGTCAAATTTAACTGGATAGTTTAATTATTTACGAGAGAACGATTGTGCAGATTCCTTTTAAACTTTTAAGAAATTCGATTCTTACTACACTGAAAAAAAATTCTCGGCGTTTTTGCCAAGGTCCGTTGGTACCTTTACCGTCTCACTTTTTTTTACCAATTATTGGCAATTTTACCGAGAAAGACTGGTATGCTTACCTAAAAACCGGTATTTTTACTGTTTTTTTTTTTTCGGGTAAGAATACCACTTTTATTGGTAATCAATTCCCGGTAACTTTGCCATTTTATCTATGTAATTCTACCACAGTCGATAAAAAATATTGGCGTTTTTACCGGGGTCCAGTAAAATTACCGAGAAAGTCAATAATTTTACCGAGATTTCTCGGTAAAATTACCAATTCCATAAATGGTAATTTTACCAAGAAAAAACTGGGATCAAATAAAACCCTGAATTCTTGGTAATTTTACCCTTTTCTTCGTAAATACACCGAGATTTTTTTTTTCAGTGTATGCAGAAAACGCTCTGAAATTTTCACAAAAATCCACACAACTGTTTTCATGTAAAAAATTGAACTGCCTGATTAAATTTGGCCATGGCCGATGTGGCTTGGTTCCTTTCTGTTTATCGCGGTCCATTTAGCAACTCTCGGATGTTCATACGGCGTTCTTCCTTGTTTCCGGCAGTGCTGCCGTGCTGAGGAAAAACGCCGTATGAGCACGTGAATGTTGTCAAAATTCCTTACAGAAAGTACTTATTTTAAAGTTAATAAATGTCCATATTTTTCCTCGGAGTTTTTAGGCTGTTTGGATTAAATTACGAACAAAATTCTGTGGAAAATCTATGGATATCCCGTGGAAAAAATCTTCATGAGTCTATATGTGAGCCGTCATCCGAGGTTTAAGAGAGCAAGATGAACCGCCTAGGAACCGGACTAGAAATTAGAAAAATGAAAACAAAACGAATTGTCGAACAATTAATGTCGGTAGAACCGTTGATGTTAACCAGAACAAATAAAAATTTAATCCAGGGAAAGGCTGCAAGTGCTAAAAGCCCCCTTTTAGCGAGAACCCCAAGAGGCTACGGAGATTTGCTTCCTGAAACTCTCGGACTTGACACGATAAAAATAGGTACCTAGAGTTTGTTGGATGATATGGGCGTTTCCAATCAATTGTAGTAGTACCCAAATAAATTATTAGTAACCCAAACGTTGTTGTATTGCCCCTACTTGAATTGCGTTCCTGCCATAATCAATTGGACATGCCCATATCATTCAATAAAACACAAAATCAATCTTCATTCATCCAATATATTGGGATAGTACCACAATTTTAGGAAATAACGATTAACACTTTTTTTCCTGTGTAAATTTAATACAAAATCTGGGTGTCTCATAATGGAATAAAATTCACAATATGGAGAAACTTTTATGTTTTCAAAAGGCAGAAAATGGATGATTTACTCTCGCCCATTATTTATGCCTTTTTGCCAATTAATTTTCCGCCGATTAGCCACGAGTCCATAGAGGCTTCCGAGTTCCTTCATTTTGTTGTGTATGCAATCTGATCTCCGGAGAGTTAAAATAGTTGCTTCAGGCAGGAGCGAAGTACCGGCATCCACGCGGCGCGTGACGCGGCGCTCTCAACTAATTAACAGTCTGCTGGGTCATGAGTCAGCAGATTCTCTTTAAGTTTCTTCATTTCTTTAGTTCAGTTGGGCGCACTTTGTTGAGCGCCAGATTTATTAACAGTTATTTTAGCGTTTTTCTTATTTTTTTTCGCCCCGAGCTGGGAGTGCCACCTTAAGCGCGGCCGCTTTTGTTATGTACGTTCGAGAGAGAAAGAGAGTGAACTCATTTTAGAGGGTGTCCTAACTATCAGTTGGATTACATTTTACAATAAGGAACCACTATCTCTGGATCCTCCATAAAAGTATATTTCTGCATAGGGAAACCAATGGCGTATAAGTTGTTTTTAAAATGAGTCAGAAAAAGTGGTTCCTCATTGCAAAATGTGGTCCAGTTATACACACTCCAATTATAAGATACCATCAATCTGAAAAAGCACTTTAGTTTTTAAAATCAGAAAGCCGAGCACTGATACGACCGGGCTGATTGTTGAAATTGATAGACAAAACTATAGACAAAGAAAACAAATAAAGGGGATATATGAAGGGATGTAAAGGAATCCCATCGATGGAAGCGGGCGGTTGCAATTGACAAAGAATGTAGATAATAGACTAACTAACGGCAACCCACGATTGACCCTATAGTTAGTCCAAAATTGTCTCCTTTAGTCTATAGGAGCAAACCATTTCAACCGATAGGATCGCTTCATACTCCCTATGTCTTTTTTGTCCATAGCTTTGCCTATCAATTTCAACAATCGGCCCGCTCAGATCCCAGAAAAAGCTCAATAACTTTTTGGGGCCAACTGAATAATTCCTCAGTGATTGCAATATTTTAAAGTTCATTTTGCTTGCAAGAGCTTCTTAGTTGCGAGCAGGGCAGTTTGAGGGGTACAAACCGACAGCGTTAGTTAGAAAATCAGAACTGATTATCTTTTCCACTTTACTTTCCCGAGCGCATTTAAAACTTTAGCACGCGTCGCGATCTTCCTCGCGAGTGATAGCTTGTAGCAATGACTGCTCTGAAATGTCGAGAGTATTATCCGACCTGCCTCTGCCCTGCTTACGAATTCCGGTCACTTTTCTGCTACTGTTTGATTTCAATGCTTTCTCCACTCTTCCTCTGCTACCTTGATTCCGATTTTTCGACACAACTTGAAAAATAAAAAAAAAACTCTTCTGAACAACGTTTCTTTCTATCTTATCCCGTCGACAATTATCTATTTTAGGGCCAACGAAGGACCTAACTGACAGTTTTGGCAAAAATGAGTCAACGATTTCGCCGCATTCTACAGTATGAAATACGCATGCTGATGATTTTAGTTTTTTTTTTTTCCAATTCTGCAGGCGAGCGCTTCAATGATGCAGTAATGTATGAAAAAAATGCAAATTTCACCTTAAAATTATTAAAGTGGCGAAGTATTCTCTTTGTTCTGTAAAATTGTCAGTCTGCATTTAGGCGGTATATTGTTCGTTAGCCATGGATTTAGTTATTTTTATTCGTATATAAAGCAAATTTTCAATATTTTTCTGTTTCAGGCATTTGAAGAATTGGAGACGCAGTTGAGTCGCTACAACATCTGCATAGCTGTGAAAGAAAAATTGGTGAAAGATTCTGGTGTCGCCGACGAGAGCGCCTACAACGAAATCGTCAATAGACTTCTCATGAAACCGCGTGCTAAAGGTAAAATGCTTATGAGTTATTGAAAGTTGTGAAATCTCTTTGTTAAAAATTTAAGACTCAGGAATGCCCAATACTTCTTCATATTGATGGTGAAAATACCGAACTACGTACATCGATTATGATGAGGGCAAATCGTTGTCTCTCGGACGGAGGAGCGTAACTTCATTCCACGGTTGCAAAATTGGCTCATACAATCTAATCTTGTACATGAATGTATCCGTGCAATTTTTATTCAAAATATTCCTGATTTTTGCAAGAGATCAGTAGATAAATTGGGAAAATTCTAGTTAAAAATGCCCAAGATTATGCTGGTAAAAATGCAATTTGTACGAGGAAATTTTCGCAGCATTGAAATGTAGTTCAGTTCTTTTGTGAGGAAAAGAGCAAAATTTCCGCTAATATTTTCTTTTTTCGTGAGATTACTATTTGACAAAATTTCACCAAATTTGTAAGATAATAACCCTAAAAAAACAAAGAAGAATCGAACGCAAGTTTGAAGAAAAACGATGATCTAGCCATCGCGAGAAAAGTAAAATGGTGAAAGAGATTTGCAACGTTGCAAATCGAGATACGTGGGTTTTTCCACTCATCATAGATATGTGTCTGCCTTTGAGATCGATCTTGAGAGCACGACGCAAGTGTGAAGAAAAGAGGAGAGGAGTGATAAAGCTTTCCATGAAGAATTTAAAAGAAGAAATGGGAAGGGTTTTTATTTCCTTCCTTTTTTTCCAAGGAGTGAAGGCTGTGTCTGTTTGGGTTTTATAATTCAATAGGCGCAAGAATCTGAAGTTATATACTGCCGTGCTAAAAAAAAATGCCGCATTTTATAAGATTTGCATACCGCCAAATCTCCTCCGATAAAATATTTATTTTGTAGGAAATTCATAAATGTTTTTTCTTTAAATGTTTGGACCAAATAAACATTAAATTGCGTATAAAACCCTCCGAAAAATCTGAAGACAAGTGTGAAAGTGGTTTTCTTTTTTAAAATCCCTTGTTATTGAGAGAAATTTGGCAACGCCTAAAGTCTCATACGGTGTTTTTCCTCAGCAAGGCAGTGCAGGTGTTTAAAGAGGGGGAAAAGGGGAGAGAATGGTTTGATAATGTATTAATGGTCTCATGATCTTAAGGGTCGGTGTGATGAATCAATGCCCATTCAAAATACATCGAGAGACCGTCGCTGTTGCCAAATTGTATTTGACGATTTATTCCGTTTTAAGAGAAGGGTTATTCTTGCCCTATGCTTCGGAGAAAATTCCCTGAAATTTGAAGGGCAACGGTGCGACCGGTTGTCCGTGAAAAATATTTCTAATTGAATTTGGCAACAGGTTATTTCACTGAACATTCTTCCGAAGAATGATGACGGCGCAGAGATACAACTGTTCGTGCTTGACGGATGTCCTTGTTGTATCTGCAAAATTGAAGGCGCGATGACGCGGTACACGTTACCACGCAAAGTTCCGCTCAACGCTGCCCATGCAGCGTCGCTCAGATTCGGAAGAAAAACTAAAAAAAGGCCCGATAACGTCTCTTCTGTCTTTGACAGTGATGATACTTGAATTTTTATTCACTTTTTTTTGTTTTTATTTGATGATTGATTCTTATTTTAAGATATATTTGTGGACCTATATTTAAAGCTCGCGTATATCGGCCACATGCAACCCGCGGGTCACTTGTTTTTAGTAAGCCTCGGGTCAATCTGACCCGGCTTGGGTATCTGGAGGTTAAAAAATGTAACGCCCAGAGAACAGCAGGCTGATCATTGAAATGCATAAGCAAAGCAATAGACAAAGTAGTTTCCGAGAAATTGGAGCGATCATATTGGTTGAAACGGGTGGTTGTTATAGAATAAGAGGTAAACTGATGGACCAACTATAGGGTCCCTAGAAATTGCAGTTAGTTAGTCTATTACTTACCTCATTTGCCCAATGCAACCACCCGCTCCTACCAATAGGATCGCTCCATTTTCCCGTTAACTTCTTTGTCGATCTTGACGCTTTATGGCTCTTACGGTATTCTTGCTTAGCTCGGCAGTGCTGTCGTGCTAAGGGAAAACGCCGTATGAACCTTTAGGCGTTGCCAAATTTCCTTCAATAAAAAGATATTTTCCTTGTAAACTACGAATATTATCCTCCCAATTTTTCAGATAATTTTGTTCGCAATTTTATCTGAAGATTCTGAAAACGTAAAGGAAAAATATTCATAACTCTCCTCAAAAATAAATATTTATATAACTCTCGAATGTTCATACGGCGTTCTTCCTTAGCACGGCGGAATGGGGTGAACTAAAACTTGCTGGGTGACTCTCCGAGTCTCTTAAAATTCTTGTGAAATTTGCTTTGTGCCTCCGAAAGAGTTCCTTAAAATTTTAAGGGGATCGGGACAACTCTTCCTTTTTGAGAAAACTTGTCCAATAAATTTGGCAACAGGTGATGTCAATTGGCTCCTTTTTTAGGGAGACGGTGCATAAATCCGAGGAATAAGCCTTAAAGTGGATAATATCTGAAGAGCGGAAGGAAGGAAGGAAACGTCGGAAGGCGCGTTCGGCTGGATAGCGATTCGTGTGCAAACATGTCGGCGCACAAATACGAGCAGGAGTCGAAGTAATAGGATGAAAAATGACCCAGTCGTCATAGCATCAACTTGACGTTAAACGGTGAAATTAGGCTATCTCGAGATGAATAAGTTGAGAGTTTGATACTTCATCCCCTTTCCCGCCTCGTTTCTTATTCATACGGCGTGCCCAAGTAAAAAGCATTGACGTTGACTTGTATTACCGTTGTATTATTACGACAGCCACCGATTTCTTTCGCCTTGCGGGGGTTCCGCTTCTTCTGCCTCTACGCACACTTGCCTCAGGAATACTGCCGTGCTAAGGAAAAACGCCGTATGAGCCTCCAGGCGTTGCCAGATTTCAATTGATAAAACACGAATTTCCTGATAATCTTATGAATATTTTTCCTCCAATTTCTCGGATAATATTGTTCACAATTTCACCGGAAGTCCCTGAAAATTTCAAGGTAAAATATTCATAACTCTCCACAGAAATAAACATTTTACTGAAGGAAATTTGACAACTCTTGAATGTTCATACGACGCGACGTTCTTCCTTAGCACGGCAGGATGGGTGTGTTCTGCCTTTCACAGCAAAAAAGTTGTAGCTCCACTCTTGTTTTGTCAATGCGCCTATCGCAAACTTCAGCAAGGGCAAATTGGAAACGTTAATTATGTTGAATATTATGTCGTCACTTTCCGGCCGAAGTATCACAAGCGCCATGCGACATTTAAACATTTCTGCCGTCATTTCATTTTCTTACAGAGAAATGGTTCAACGAAGCTGTCCGAAAATTTAACTGAATATTCTCTGTGCTGCCGATAAAATTCAAGGAAATTTTCAAACAGATTCAGCCGAAAATTTCTCTGTAAAAAAAAAAAAAAAAAAAAAAAAAAAAAAAAAAAATTGTGGCGAAAATTTTTTAAACGTTGCATGGCGCTGGTGATATACTTTCGCCGGAGGGTGACGATGTAGCATCTTAGTGCGCAAGGGTTATAGATGGAACGACTCCTCTTATGAAATGTTCATCTATGCCGTAGTGTCGTTTCTAAGGTAATGTAGCATCGCGTCCATGATATTGGACTCCATGCTCAGCTATATCTGTTCGGTTGCTCATCACGTCCAAGATCTTGGACTCCATGCTCACTTTAATGAGGGATGATTTTTTCGAAAAATCGAAGTGAGCATAGCGTCCAAAATTGTGGGATGCAGGTATTCTCTAACAATACACGAGCATAGGGTCCAAAAATGTATTAGGACAATTTTTGTGAAATAAAGGCGAAAAAACGTGTCCTCAAAAAAATTATGCATTGCTTAGGTTAGGTTAGGTTAGGTTAGGTTAGGTTAAGTTAGGTTAGGTTAGGTAAGGTAAGGTTAGGTTAGGTTAGGTTAGGTTAGGTTAGATTAAGTTAGTTCAAGTTAGATTAGATGAGCGAAGTGTACGATGCTCTATCATGATGAACTTGAAACCAAGGGAGGTCTGCTTGCTTTTGGACTCCATGCTCAAGCAAAGAAGTGAGAAGTTTGGAGATGAGCATGGATTCCAAGATCTTGGACGAGATGAGCAGGCAAGTATATCAAGGATGAGCATGGAGTCCAATATCTTGGACGCAATGCTACATAATCGTTTCTAAGGTTGGTGGAAATCTTAGGAAAACGCATAATTCCTAAGCAGATTGTGAAGTTAGGAGTTTAGGTATTTCAGACTTTTCCAATTAGTACGTCGCGATCATTGAGCCATTTTCTGTACGAAGCAACTCTTTTCTCGCTCTGGCTGAAGTTTGCAACTGGTTCATTATTACTTCTGACAAAATTATTTATTACAATAGTAATAATGATCATAGCTCCTCTATTTTCTCAGAATGGCTGTGCCGTATTGTTGAAAATTTTATTGAAAACATGACTCGGAAAAGTAATCAGACATTCTAGGGGTGGAGCAATTTAGCAGATGAAAAATCACTAAAATCAAGAATAGAGTTACGGGTTTCTTGCTGCGTACGGCAGTTTTCCTCTCCGGGTTTTCCTGAAAGGCTCATAGGATTCCAACTCTTATAATCTCAAAGATGAAATTCCCCTTGTCCTATAATAGTTCCGCCCATGTGCTTTATTAAAAGTATGGACAAGGTTTCGTACCTTTTCCGTTAACCATCAACTGTTTTCTGAAAGCTGTGAAACAAAATCTTAACCGTACAAAGAAAGTCAGTATGCGCGCACGGTCTGCCGGCGTAATTCATCAAAGAGTCGACCTTAGGAATATTATCTAGGGAAGATTTTCATTGCATACACACAGACCTTTTCAGTGTGCAGTATTCGTCGCAGTTGCTCAATGCGGAGTCTTCGATCAAACCTAAATTTTCAGTGGACACACAAACGATCAATTTATGAAATTAATCACCGAGTCACATTTCCATTTCAAGATTGTGGTCCTCAAACCCCCGGCATTCAA